TGCCATAACAAAACACCACAAATTGGGTTGGTGGGAATAGGTATTTATTGCGTCACAGTTCCAACGGCTAGGACTCTGAATTCAGGGTATTAACAGAATCAATTTCTTTATGTCCACTCTAGGGGAATATTCCCTCCCTCAGGCCTTTTAGGAACATTTGATAATATCTAGAGACATTCACCCTCAGGTTTCTTTCAGCATCTAGTATCCCCAAGCATTTCTTGTCATTACTTGATTTTTTAACACATCTTCACATGACTACTGTGCAGACTAAAGGAGTAATCTGTAGGGAGTTGTCATGCTAACCTGAAGGCTATCCTTCTTCAACAGTTTGAACCAACCAGTGACTACAAGGGGAAAAGATGATTAATCTTCTGCAATGTGATTTACAGCCTCGAAAATAAAATGGACGGCCAGCTATGAGTTGATTCTGACCAAACAATGAGTAAGATATTCAGTTGCTCAAAAGAGAGATGTCTTGAGAATTTCAATGTGGATTGAAGCTCAACATTAAGAAGACAAAGATTCTAACCAGTGGGCCAGTTGGCAGCACCATGATGGATGGAGAAGGGATTGAGGTTGTTAACAGTTACATCTTGTTTGACTCCATTCTTGGCACCAGCAGTCAGGAAATCAAAAGACAAATTGCATTAAGTAAATCTGCTGTCAGGGACCTCTCCAGAGTACTGAGAAGCAATTATGTCAATTTAGAGACTAAGGTGTGCATGATCCAGGCCTTCACAAGTACTTGCTATGCATCAGAGAGTTGGACAATGACTAAGGATGGCAGAAGAAGAATTGATGCCTTTGAGTTGTGGTGCTGGAGAAGAGTATTGAACATGGAACTGCAAGAGAACAAACAGGTCTGTCTTGGAGAGGGTGAAATGAAGTTTTAACTTGGAGGCAATGATTTTGAAGCTCCATCACACATACTTTGGGCATGTGGCCAAGAAGGAGCAGTCCTTAGGAAAGGACTTCATGCTCGGAAGGATGGACAGCACAGGGAAGGAAGACCCTTGATGAGATGGATTGACTCGGTTACTGAGGTAATGGGGGTAGGTGTGTTGAAGTCAGTGAGACTGGCTCAGGACAGGGCAGGCTTCAGAGCTATTGTACATAGGGTTGCTATGAGTCACAGGTGACTCGAAGGCACATAACAACTATAACAACAACAACATGACCTCATGCTAACTAATTGCGTTCAGAAAGACTTTTTCCAAATAAGATCACATTTACAAATACTGAGGCTAGAACATAAATATATGTTTTTGTTGGGCACAATCCACCTCATAACAGACTCCTATATTTCTTGTATAGTAGATCTGAATTTACAAACAAAGGAAAAGAAAAAAAAAATCAAAACCAAACCAGAAACGTGTTGCCTTCAAGTTGATTCTGACTCATAGGGATCCTACAGGCAGAGTAAAATTGCCCTATAGTGTTTCCAAGATTGTAATCTTGCAGAAGCAGACTGTCATATCTTTATCTAGCATAGCAGCTGGTGGGTTCAAACCATTGACCTTTATGTTAGCAACAGAGTGCTTAACTACTATTATCAACGGGGCAGATCCACTGTCAACAAATTATCTCAGCTGTTATCTCCCTGGGAATGACTTAATTTCTCTTTTAGTTTTTAAAGGCCAGCTTTGCCACATTTAGAAATCTTGGTTGAGAGTTGTTAGTAGTAGACTGCGGTTGACCGCTTATGAATTTTTTAAAAAAATTTTTGTTCACAAATGTTTTGTTTGCAATGTTTACAAAATTATCTCTACAAGCTCTCTTTTTCAGGTTAGTAGCTTGATGTTTGACAGAGGTTTTCCTAAATGCCCAGAGCTAAAACAAAAGGAAACGAAAAGAAAACAAAAAAACAAACAAAAAATCCCCAACAACCTCTCTGTAGTTATTTGAAGATTGGTCACTCCTTCAATGTTTCACCAGATCACTTTTCAACTGTGCCTCAGTCTTTTCCCCTCTGCTTGCTCTAAGCCTTTTTGATCAGCCAAAAGAGGAAAGCTAGCTTATGGTCTCTGCAGGTCTACTCTAAAAATGTATCCTGTTCTATGGGCGTGACTTTCTAGGCTCCCTGGGCTTTTCAAAGTGCTAGACTCCAAAGATTCTCTCTCTTGAGCTTTTCTTCTCCAGTTTTGGCATGCTTACTGTTTATTTATCCCAACCTGTACAAGATAGAGTAAAAGGCTTAGAATAAAATTAAGTGAAGGGAAAGGCAACACACCATAGGGGGTTGATTAGACATTGTAATAAATTAACCACATTGTTGCTGTTGTTATGTGTTGTGGAGTCTAGATAGAGACCCTGTGAATGAAGTCTGCCCTATCCTGTGTCAACCTCATCAACTCTGGTGTACTTGAGCCCATAGCTGCAGCCACTGTGTCAATCCATCTTATACTGTAATTAGTGTTATAAAACAAAAAGTTTATGGATAAATTGTATTAACAAATAAATATTTATAAATCTTCACTTAAAAATATTAATAAAAAGGCTTAGGACCACAGTCTTGTTGGATAACTTAGTCAGTTGGTATAACATATAGTAATGATCAACATCCTAATTTGGTGATTAGTGTTTGGGATTTATTAAAATTTGGGATTTATTAAACTGTAAAGTTTTTAGCAACTATCTCGTATACAACTCTTGGTTTGGATCAAAAGAGAACGAAGAAAAGCAAAAACTAAAAGTAGAAACAAGTCCACAGAAATAACAGTCCACACCAATTGTAGTCTCTGTTAACCTTCCAATGGAAGAATTTGATGGTGCCCAGCTATCAGAACACATTAGAGGGTCCCAGACAGAATGAGAAAAATGTAGAACAAAATTCTGTCACCAGAGCTCCTTGATGATAACAGAGAACATTTATTATAATAGATGTTATTATAATTTACTGTTTTGTTTATTATTTTTTGTGTGTGTACCGTCAAATCGGATCTGACTCGTACAGGAAGAGATCGCCCCTCCTTCTCCAGTAGAGGATCTGGTGGATTTGAACTGCATATCTCTGCTATTGCAGTGCAGCTTCTTGCCACTACGCCACCAGAGCTCCCTCATTGTTTACTGTTTTAATATCCTTTGGAAGCATTTCCTTATTTCCTCTTCACAATCATGTGACCCTACCTCTTTCTTTCTCACTGCCTTTTAGCTCGTTCCTACTCAGAGCTAGCTTTCCAGTGGGTTTTCAAGGCTGTAAGTCTCATGGGAGGAGACTGTCTATCTTTCATGCTCCAAGCCAAGCCACTGATAGAACGGAATGGTGTGATCTTTAAGTCAATAGTGCAACTCTACCGACTATACCACCAGAGCTCCCAATGTGACCCAGTGTTATTATTTTGGTTGTTACCTTGTCCTATCCCCGTGCCATCTTCATCATCTCTGACACACTTGGGCCCATTGCTGCAGTCACTTTGCCAGTCTATCTCTTGAGGGTCTTCCTTTCTTTCTCTGACCCTCACTCAGCCTTTCCAAGCACGCTGTCTTTTTCCAAGGACTGGCCACTCCTAACCACATGCCCAAAATGTGTGCGATGGAACTTCACCATCTTTGCCTCTAGGGAGCACTCTCGTTGCATTTTCTCCAAGACATATGTTTGTTCTTTTGACAGTCCATAGGATATTCAGTAGTCTTCTCAAACACAACTCAAAAGCATCGATTCTTCTCCTATTCATTGTACAACTCCCAGCTGCATGTAAAATTATTGAAAAGCCCCTATAGGACAGAATAAAACTGCCTGCCCCACAGGGTTTCCAAGGCTGCAATCTTACCCAAGCTATGATAAATTGCTTCATATACATGTGAAACTGAACAATGAATGTGGAAAACAAAAGATGAATAGTGGCTTCTGAATTATGATGCTGGTGAAGAATGTTAAATATACCATAACCAGAAGGATGAAGAAATTTGTATTGGAAAAGTACAGCAAAATAATCATTAGAAGTGAGACTTCGTTTCACATACTTTGGCCATGTTATCATAAGGGGCCAGTTCCTGGAGAAGGTTACCATGCTTAAGGGTTGGTAAAAAAAAAAAAAGATCCTTAACAGATAGATTTACACAGGGGGCTACAACAATGGCCTAAAGCAGTATGAGGTTGATATGATTCTGAGGATGCCACAGGACAACAGTGTTTCATTCTGTTGAACATAGGAATCTTGTTTAAAAGGTAGATTTTTGGTCCAGTTTAGGTGGAGTGGAAATGCAAATTCTCAGCAGGGAGGGAGTTCAATTGGAATGCATTGAGTTAGGGAGCCCTGGTTTTAAATCACGGTTTTATAACAGGGGCTGGATGTTAAACATGGATGGGGCTGGTAGGCGTGGATTAACAGAAGGATTGGGGGGGGGGTCTGGAGGCTAATACAAGAGCAAGGACAAGAAAGCGTGAATGGCAGAGGATTTATGAGCTGTTTCTGTGGTAGAGGAGTCCTTGTGATAAACCCAAAATCGGCCATTAGAACCGATCAGATGCTCCCTAGGGGAAAGATGTGGAAGTGCGATCCCACAAACCCTAGGAAATCTTGTGAGGCAGCTACTTCTAGCCTAAATCATATTTTCTTATTTTCCCCACGGTTTAATAAAAACAAAACCCAACCAGGATAGAGGCGAAGGTCTGAGTTCTCACTAGCGCGCTGTTAGAACCAACTCTTGAACACCTAGGGTGAGCCCCCACGTTCGTGTTAAGAGATCCAAAGCTGGAGTGGTCGCTCAGGGTCAATTGCCGCCTCAAAAAGCCCGCAGAGCAGCGAGGGTCAAAGCCGGGAAGTGACTGACGTCAGGGTGACGTGGAACCCTGCCCTCACACCAGCTTCCGGCTACGCTAGGCTCCTGCTTCCGTCCTTCCCGCCCCTGCGCCAGACTCCGCCCCGCTCCCACGCGCCTCTAAGTGCTTCATGCGGGGGAGCGTTGGATGGGTGGGGGGGTAACAGCACAGGTTGCTGTCGGAAGTCCCCCTACAGGTTCTTCTTCCGCTTTGCCTAACGATTTCCGTTGGGGGCAGTCAATATGGACGGTACGGCTGGCTGGCAAAGCAGCTTCTGAGGGGCTGCAGAGGTGCAGCTTCTCGCCAGCAGCGGTCCCCCTGCTCCCCGCCCCCCCTCCGCCGCTCCCGTCCCTGGGGCCGGCGCGCTAGTCACTTCATGGGGGCGGGCCTCTGCAGCCCGCTCCTTGTTTCCTGTTCAGAGGCGGCCCCGCGGTAGGCGGCGACGACGCTACCCGCGCCCCCTTTGGCGCGTTGACCGAACGATTGAGGGCTGCATCTTGTGCCGTTGCGCCAGTCCAGACCCTGTGCCGCCATGGCCCCGGTGCAGCTGGAGAACCACCAGCTGGTCGCTCCCGGAGGTGGAGGCAGCGGTGGTCCCGCGTCAGCGCCGGCACCTCCTCCCCCGGGAGCCGCTGTGGCGGCGGCGGCGGCGGCGGCAGCCAGCCCAGGATACCGGCTCAGCAGTCTCATCGAGTTTTTGCTCCACCGGGCCTACTCGGAGCTCATGGTGCTAACTGACCTGTAAGTGCCGCGAAATCTATGCGTGCTCCCCAGCCCCCTCCTTTCCCGCCTAACTGCCGAGACTTGCACCTCCCTCACCCCAAGGGGCTGCTACTTTCCTTGCCGGGCTACTTAGTCTAGAATTTCTGAACTCCAGAGGTTCAGCGGAGTTAGAGAAGCTTTACATTTTGGGAGGGTCTTTCTGGGGATTATGCAGCAGAGACTTATGCGTTATTCTTGTTAGACTTTCATTTTAGCCTGAATCCCAATATTATATCGTTCAGGGGCTAGAAAGATATAATATTCGAACTTTTAAAAGAACCCAAAACCCATAGATGAGAAATCTGTTTTTTACAGCTTCGTTATCATACGTTTAAATATAGATTGTAAGTGTTCGGGACTTAGTTTGGACAGTAGAGATATGCAAGAAATGCGTGTAGAAGAATTAAAAAAAAAAACCCTGCTGGTTCCAAACAGTTTTTCTGTAACATTTGAGTGTTTGACGTTTTCATACATTTAGTGTAAGTTCTACTATTACTCATTGCTATTGAACTTAGTTTTTGACAGCCGACCTATTGCTATTATTTCTTGAAACATGAAGGGATTTTCTAAACCATTAAGCTATCCATGAAATGCTTTGAACGCGATTAGGATTCTAATTTCTTCAGAATAGAATTGACATTCGCTGTAGTGATGCTTTTAAAGTGTGTAAAGTAGACACTATCAAATGTGGGGCCATCTACTTCAATTTCTGCTTAATAACAGGTTCTGAAGAACTGTCAAAATTGTTATCTAAATTGGCTTTTATCTTTTATCTATTGTTAGACATCTGATCAGTGTTTCCAGTTGAAATGCAGTGGTATGTAAATATTAGACTGTAAAATGTGGCAAGTAGTTTGTCATCAGAGAGGTTATTAGAGATTGTTTACAGATGACCAAATGATTACAAATAAGTTCCATTTATTTCTATAGAGCACCTCTCATTCACTTTTGATATCCTGTACTTGATAGAATGGGACTGAAAGAGGTAGCATAAAAAAACCTGCTCCTGTCTCAGGAGTCTCTAGGTTGTGGAGAAGGTTAAGTTTAAGATTGGTGATTGGAACCCACCCAGAGGCGCCTTGTAAAACAAGCTTGACAGTCTGTTTCTGAAAGGTCACAGCTTTGAAAACCACGTGGAGCAGTTTTGCTCTGCACTCACAGGGTAGTGACAGCTACCAACAGCAAATGTTGATATCTGAAGAGAAACTTAAGTTGCTACTGCAATTAGATACAAAGTTATGTAGTAGCACACTTCTATTGTTACACATTTTTTGTTACATATTGTAATACTTCAAAAGTATCCATCAGGGCACAACAAAAAAACAGTTAAGAACTGCTGTCAGTGGTTTTCATAGTGTCAATTTGTTTTCATAGTGAATTTGTAGAAATTCCTTGAATTTATAGTGTGTTCCTAAGCATGACATCCTTTTATTTTTTTTTTTAAGGCACTACCTTTTTTATTTTAGGATATGGTTTATGAAGGGAGAAACATGTTTTATTGCCTTAGAATGAAAGTATAGTCCTATACCTTTTCTTTGATGTCTAGTCCTGTGTTTATTTTTCCATCATAGACTTCCCCACCAAACTTCAGACTATTCAAATGATTACATTTCAGTATCTAAGGGACACTTCAGTGTATCAAGTCCAGATCCAAACTCCTGATTCTCCAGAACCCTTCCAAAGTTTTTCTCACTTTCTCACTAAATAATATGTCTAATTGCTCAGGTCAAACATTTTTTTTTCTATAATTATATTTTATTAATTTTCATAAACATTTACAGAGATTTTGGGTTTCTATTCATTCATTGTTGCACTAAGGTCAAACATTTTTGAGATAATTCCTAACTCCTCATGAGCAAATCATGTTAGAATATATCTACAAGAGTATATCTAGAGTCACATTACTTCCACCATTACCAATCCAATCCAGGCCACTTAATCCTTAAGTGGTCATATTGCAGTAGTCTCCTTACTGCTATACTTGCTCTTCTGTTTGTTTGGTTTTTTCTCTTTAAAATAGGGTGATCTTTTAAAAAACTTCTCTGCTCAAAACTTGCCAGTGGTTTCCCATCTCACTTTAGGTTTAAAAGTTTTTATAATCACTTAAAATAAGTGACCATAAAATTTATCCTCCAAACCAGGATACTTTTTAGTGTTAAAGGTGTTGGTGTTAAGAATAATGTTGGAACAGCAAGTGTGAATTGAGATGATCTCAGTCACTGTATGTTTAAGGCTGTGTATGATCTGCGCTCTTATTCTTCCCACTTCGTTTTCTAATACTGTATCCCTTGCTTAGTCTACTCCAACCACACTAGTCGTCTTCATGTTTCTTGATGGTGCCAAGCACGCCAGAGATCTCTGTAGTTTCCCTGCTGTATTTTATTCAGGTACACTTACCAGAAAGGCTTTCTTTGACTGTCCTGAATAAAATACTACTCTGACCCTTCCCTTAATCTTTCTCATATTGCCACTTTATTTTTCTCTACAACACCACTTATGCCATCTGCATTATTATTAATGTCTGTTTTCCTTCACTGGAATGTAGGCTCCATTAAAATTTTATTTGTTTACTGGTTTCTTGAGGGCCTAGAACAGTACCTGGCACATTAGAGATTTTAACTCACCTGGGAAGCTCTGTGGCTCTGTGGTAGAAAGATGAACAGTTTCTTCCCATTTTGATACACAACCTCAGAAACTCAATGGAAAGTCACTGTGAATTTGAACCCAGTTGATATCAGTGAGAGATGCCTCAGAAGAAAGGCTTAGTAATCTGCTTCTGCCTGGTCACAGCTAGGAAAACCCTGTGAAGTGCAGTTGTACTCTGAAACACATGGAATTACCTGAATAAGAATCAACTTTGGCAGCTTTTTTTCACTCACTATGAGTAAGAGCCTACAGTGAAGAAGGAAGAAGTTCAAACTGCTTTGAAGGAATTGGTAAAAAATAAGGCCCCAGGAATAGATGGTATACCCATTGATGTATTTCAACTAACAGATGCTGCCCTGGATGTGCTCACCAAGTTGTGCCAAAAAACCTGGAGGACAACCACTTGGCCAACTACCTGGGAGAGATCTATCTATATTTGTTTCCATTTCAAAGAAAGGTGACCCAGCAGAGTGTGGCAATTATAGAACAGTATCACTGATAGTCACATGCAAGCAAGATTCTGTTGAAGATTATCCAAAAATGACTGGAACCGCACATCAACAGAGAACTGCCAGAAGTGCAGGCTGGGTTTACAAGGGGTTGTGGTACCAGGGATATTGTAGTCTGTGTTTTATAGATTATGCAAAGGTGTTTGTGTGGATCACAACAAACTATGGCTGACTCTGAGAATAATGGAAATCCCAGAACACTTGATCGTGCTAATGTGAAACCTGTACTGGGACCAGGAGGCGGTGGCCAGAACAGAGCAAGGAAACACTGCATGGTTCAAAATTGGGAAGGGTGTACGCCAGGGATGTGTCCTATCGCCACACCTTTTCAACCTATATGCAGATCAGATTGTTCAGGAGGCTGGGCTGTGTGAAGAGAAGTGTGGCATCAGGATTGGAGGAAGATTCATCAACAATCTGCGTTATGAAGATGACACAACCCTGCTTGCTGAAACAGGAGACCTGAAACACTTGGCTGTAGAAGGTCAAGGACTGCAGTCTTCAATATGGATTGAGGCTCAATATCAAGAAGACAAAGATTCTCACCACTGGGCCAATTGGCAGCATCAGGATAGATGGTGAGGAGATTGAGATTGTTCACAGCTTTAGTTTGCTTGGCTCCACAGTCTACACTCTTGGCACCAGCAGCCAGGAAATTAAAAGACATATCGCAATGGGAAAGTCTACTGTTAGGGACCTCTCTCCAAAGTACTAAAGAGCAATGGTGTCACTCTGGAGACTAAGGTGTGCCTGATACAGGCCATGATCTTTGCAATCACTTGCTATGCATGAGAGAGCTGGACAATGACTAGGGAGGCTAAAAGCAGAATTGATTGATGCCTTTGAGCTGTGGTGTTGGAGAAGAGTATTGAATATATAGCATGGACTGCTATGAAAACGAACAGATTCAGCCTGGAGAGGGTTAAACCAGGCTGCTCCTTGGAGGCAACGATTCTGAAGCTTCGTCTGACATACTTTGGACATGTTGCAAGGAGGGACCAGTCCTTGGAAAAGGACATCATTCTTGGGAGGGTGGAGGGACAGCAGAGTAGAGGAAGACCCTCAATGAGGTGGATTGATTCAGTGACTGGGGCAATAAGGGTAGGTGTGGAGACAGTGAGATTGGAACAGGATAGAGCAGCGTTTAGGGCTGTTGAACATAGGGTCACTGTGAGTCGCAGGCAAATTGATGGCACATAACAAAACAACAAATATTTGATTTCTTTTCCTAGATATTTGCTGAGTGAGTGAATTTCATTTTAAATGTCTAAGGCCTACAAGGATAATTATAAAAATCATTCATTAAATGGGTAAATTTATTAAATGGGTAAATTTTGATTGTTGTTGCAAATATCAAGAGTAATAGTCTGTTTGCTCTGATGGACCCCAGTGCCCGAAGCCAGCAGCAAGCATGGGAGTCTGTTTACAAGCCAAGTAAAGGGCGAGTCACTGGGAAAAAAAAAAGAAAAAGTAATAGTCAATTTTGCGTTAAATGTCCAAGTTCTACTGGGGCCATTCTAAAAAACTCATTATTTCTGTTGAAACTTGTTACTGTTATGAGGTGCCATTGATTTGGCTCTGACACACAGTGCTCAACAAAACCAAACCTGTACTATCCTCACAATCTTCTGTGCTTAATTAAGCTCATTGTTCCAGTCTCTGTCTCATTCCATCTCATTGAGGGTCTTTCTCTCTTTGCTGACCCTCTAATTATCCAAGCATGATGTCCTCTTCTAAGTATGGGCCTCTCCTGATAGCATATTCAAGGTATGTGTAATAAAGTCTCACCATCCTTACTTCTAAAGAGCACTCTGGTGGTTCTCCAAACGCAGATTTTTTTTTCCAGTCTTTGATATATTCAATATTCTTCACCAACAGCACAATCAAAGGCATCTATTAATTCTCCAGTCTTCCTTCTTATTCATTGTCCAACTTTCACATTCATGAGGCAGTTAACTTGGGTCAGGCACATGTTAGTCTCTAAAATGACATCCTTACTTTTTAGCTCTTTAAAGAAAGAGAGGTCATTGGTGGCAGATTTGCCCAATGGCGTTGATCATAGATCCAAATAAAACGAAATAATTGATAATGTCAGGCTTTTTTTATTTATCATATATGGGTCTTATTGGCCCCATTGTAAGGGTTTTTTGTTTTCTTTTTGTTGAAGTTTAATCAATATTGAAGGCTGTAGTCTTACATCTTCAGTATGTACTTCATGTCCTCTTCACTTTCAGTGTGCAGGGTCTTATCATCTGCATGTGGTAGGATGTTGATATTGTTGTTGTTGTTGTTGTTATGTGCTGTCGAGTCATTTGTGACTCATAGAGACCCTATGTACAACAGCCCTAAACCCTGCTCTATCATGTGCCAATGGCATTGCCTCTGCCCCCGATTACCCCAGTCACTGAATCTATCCACCTCATAGAGGGTCTTCCCCTCCTGCGCTGTCCCTCTACTCTACCCAGCATGATGCCCCTCTCTAAAGACCTGTCTCTTCTTACAACATGCCCAAAGTATGTCAGGCGAAGCCCCAGAATCCTTGCCTCCAAGGAGTAGCCTGGTTTAACCCTCTCTAGGATGCATCTGTTTGTTTTCTTGGCAGTCCATGGTACACTCGATACTCTTCTCCAGCACCACAGCTCAAAGGCGTCAATTCTCCTTCTATCCTCCCTAGTCATTGTCCAGCTCTCTGATGCATAACAAGTGATTGCAAAGACCATGGCCTGTATCAGACCCACCTTAGTGTCCAGAGAGACATGGTTATGTGTTATAAGTACCTAATATCAACATATGTATGTATGTTGATATTAGGTACTTATAATAAGTTTTTGATTTATAGTAAGTAACCAATGCTAGTTTAAAATTTACTTTTAAAGTTCCTATATACTGTATTTCCCCCCTTTTCAGGTAGAAACTATTAAGATTAATGTATTGATGTATAAGCAGTGTTCTAAGTATTCTATATAAGTCAGATAACAGAAATTACTTATTTCTGCCACTTTTTATGCTTGTCTGTGAACTACTAAATGTAGTACTTTAAGTGCTTTGGGGTTTTTTTTTGTCCCCAGATTTCTTGTTTTCCTCCCTTTGTCCATTCATTCTTCTAGCATACATATTTTAACCCTAGAGTTTAACTTAGCTGTGACTTTTAAGAGACTAAAATTCCACTTTTTTCCCAAGTTTTCAAAGGGACATTTATTCAGAATTTCTAAAAAAATATGTTCAAAATCTACACAACACTCACTCATTCAAAATTAAAAGGCCAAGCCTCTCTTTCTAGTAGTTTGAATCTACCAGTGGTTCATCAGGAAAAAGATGGGCAATTTTCCTGTGCAGTTTACAGCTTTGGAAACCCGGAAGAGGGTCAGCTATGAGTCAACCTGGTGGCAGTGAGTTTGCGTTTTACTAGGTCTTGAGACAAGGGGCAGGGCAGAGTTTTCCATTAGAGGCCTTTGAGCTTATGTTAATGGTAGTAACTTGACTCTTTAGCTGACCCTTCTTCACTAGGTTTCCAAGGCTCTAAATTTCTTGGGAAGAGATTGCCCATCTTTCTTCTGAGGAGCTGCTGGTGGGTTCAAATCACCAGCGAGGTGTGACCTTTGAGTTAGCAGTGCAACTCTACAGACCAGGCCACCAGCATTCCCTGTTAATGGTAGAATACTGTAATTTGAGAAGGGGGGTGAGATTGATTGTTGTATATCAACAAAACACTATTTCAACACTTTCTGCATGTATAATTATTTAACATTCTTCAAATTGTGCAACTATTCTCACTTTTCACCCTAAAATCATGGGCAGTCTTCCTGTGTGATTAACTGCCTCTGAAAACCTGCTGGAGGGTCAGCTATGGGTCGGTTCCAACTTGATGGGCATACTACAACCACCACCATCACTATCACCACCACCATTTACATAAATGCAAAACCCTTAATCTAACTACTCCACCATCCCTTTTTCTCCCATTCCTGCTAACCACTATTAATTTTTTGTTTCTATATATTTATTGCTGTCTTTTTGTGACTGACTGACTTTGCTTAACTTTTCAAGATTCATCCATGTTGTAGCATGCCCAGGACTTTGTTTCTTTTTATGTTGTTAGGTGCCATCAAGTGAACTAAGACTCAGAGTGAACCTGTGAACAATGGATTGGAATGTTGCCCAGCCTTGAACCATCCTCACAATCTCTTTTTTTAAATAGTTGAGTAATATTCCATTCTAGGTGTATTGTTGATAGATATTTTGATTGCTTTCACATTTTGGCTATCATGAGAAATACTTTCCACACTTCTGAGTATATTCCCAGGATTGGGATGGCTGAGTTGTATGGCAGTATTATATTCAGCTTTTTGAGAAACTGACAAACTATTTTTCATGGTGGCGATACCATTTTAGGGAGATCTGGTGGCCTAGTGGTAAGAAACTGTGCTGCAGTCCCCAAGGCATGTGGTTCAAATCCACCAGCTGCTCCATGGCAGAAGGATTGGTGGATAATCTCCTGTGTGATTAGCTGCCTCAGAAAACCTGCTGGAGGATTATATGTGAGTCAGTTCTGACTCAGTGGCACACAACAACAGCAATGTACCATTTTACACAATTGGACTTAGAAAATGCCAGGCTCTAAGTCATCTAAACTTGCCCTATCACATGATATAAATAAGTTTCAGTGCCTTCTTCTAAGCATTTGTACTTTAGGGTTTTTACCACAGACAGTAAAATTTAAGAATTATACTTATGAAGGAATTTCACATTGATTAGGAGGAAGTGGGGGAAAGGAGTGGCAAGTACTACCACTGACATGATCCTTTTAGGGCAGGTGGGAAGCACTGGAAGTATTGTGATGCTGCTCCTTCGGAGAAAAATCAGGCAATCAGCTGCCATGAAGATTGTTTGTTGCTCTTGAGTTAACTCAAATTCATAGCAACTCTATGTATAATAGAAAAAAAAAACCAAAACCACCCCAGCATCTTGTGCCATCCCCACAGATCACTGCTGTGCTTGAACTCATTTTGGAAGCCTTAATGGGCACTTCTAAGGTGACTTGAAGTTCATATCCACTAGGTGTTCTGCAGAAAAAAAGGTGAGCAGTCTCCTGTAAAGATTTATAGCCTTTGAAACCTTACATAGGGTTGCTTTGAAACCTTATGTGTTGCTAAGTGCTTGGGAAGGTGGAGGGTCAGTGAATGACAGGAAGACCCTCAACCAGAAGGAGTGACACAGTGACTGCAGTAATAGGCTCTAGTGTGTCAGAAATTGTGAAGATGGCACAGGATAGGACAAGGTTCAGATCTGTTGGTCACTATGGGTCGTGCTAGACACAACACCACCTAACAACAATAATGGCAGTGGGGTAAAGGACAATTTTACTCTCCCCCTGTGCAATTTACTACCTCTGAAAACCTGCTAGAGTCAGGGATGGGGCGGTTCCAACTCAGTGGTGCCTAACAACAAGATCACAGGATCTCTGCGAGTTAAAATCCACCCAGTGGCAGTAGGTTTTGTTTTGTTTTTTTACCCCAGAGCAGATGAATCCTGGTGGTGCAGTAGTTAGGTGCTTAGTCAGTGATTTGAACTTACCAGCTACTTCACAGAAAATGTGGTAAAGACTCTAGCCTAGGAAACCCTATAAGGCAGTTCTACTCTGTCCTTATATGGTTACTCTTAGTCAGAATAGACTCATTGGCTCTATGTTAGGGAGGTAGGAAGGGCTGGAGCAGTGTTTCCTGTTCCCCAAAGCTCTGATGTGCTATTTGTTTGGATGTGCATGCACATTCATGTTTGTCATCCTCTCTCTCTCCCTTGTGGCTCGTGAAGGAACATTCTCAGCGGCTTTGCATGTACAGGAACTTGCCAGTGGCTGCTTTCATCTGCAATCTCAAAATATGGCTTTTATTTCTGCTTCATTTTTCTGATCCAAACTCAATTGATTCCTTTATTACTCTTATCATAGCTTCGGCATCTTTTGCCATCCCTCTGTCTTTGCTAGGCTTTATAGGTAACTACTTATTTTAAGTTTCTCTTCCTAGTACCACCTCTGGAAATGGTTCTGGTTTTCCTGTGTATGTAGTGTGTGGGTAGGAGCAGGGAATTTAAGTGAGTATTCCTCAATGGATTGGACTTGAGGGAGACATGAAAGTTGTTCAGACCATTGACTCTTAGGCCACACGATAACGGTTAACAGATTAAGACCTTTCTGAACATCAGTATGTGTTTAATGGTGTAATTTGTCAGAGAAATGATGACAGTAATTGCTGGTGACCAGCATTAGAAAATTGGAAAAAAGAACAGAAATCAAAACCTGAGTGTAGCTGTTTTAAAGTAGCACAGGCCATTTCTGTATAACTGCTATGCAACATCATTAGGACTACCCATCCCTAGAGTGACACTGGTTCTTAGTGTGCTCAGTTTCCACTTTTCCCTATCTTAACAAAAGGAGGGATCGTAACTGGGAACCATGGTTCTGTTTGATACGGGGAGACTGGCAATGGAGGAGTCCTGTACACCTGTGTCCGAGACCATTTTGCTCTTAAAAGATTATTTTCTCTGATGCTGTATGATATGGTGTGCTAAAATGGCATTGTAAATGTTTGAGGTTCAGAGAAGTCATTTTGAATGGAGAGAAATGTTTCTTTGTTTTCCTTTACAGCCATACTGCTGGAAATACATATAAAGAAAGAAAAATACCAATTCTATAGTAGCTGTCTACCTAGTTTTTCAGAAACTTTAATAGAGTCAAAGACTGTTAGCACATTCTTATGACGGTATGCATGTAGTTAATCAACTTTCTTTTCCCCCTTCTTCTTAGACTACCACGGAAATCTGATGTGGAAAGGTGAGTTTGAAAAATCCTCAAGTCTCTCCCTGTATTGGTATGTATATGTATCGTGGGGCTAGGATTGGTGATTTTTCACCAATTTTTATGAAGCTTCAGTAAATGTAATTTCACAATCTTTGGAAATGCCTGATCTGGATCTTCTATAAACCATTATTGTGTGACTGACCAGGTCAAGTTTGGAGTGGATGGCAGTGGTGAGGCAATTGTAGATGATATAGTCCTTAATGGAAGAAGCTGTGGATCAGGCTAGTTTTAGAATGTTGGCTGCTAATTTACCTTTTGCAATAGTTATGCGATTATATAGCTTAGAAAATTGACGTTTGTCTATTACTATTGAGAGAATTTTTATTCCAGTGGAATCTGGGCCAACAACATTCGACCCATCTGTCAGTTGAGTTTGTTCTGATTCATAGCTACTCTCCATAGCATTTTCAGGGTTGTGAACCATAATGGGAGGAGACTGCCCACCTTTTTACCTTGGAGCAGTTGGTGGATCCAAACTGCTCTAGATGAAGCTTTTGGTTACAAGCACAAAACTTAACAGATTCTGCCCTCAGAGCTCTTCATGTGAACACTAGGATGTCTATAATGAGCCCTTGTGGTGCACTGGTAAAGTGCTCTGTTGCTTGAACCTACCAGTGGCTCTGCAGAAGAGACCTGGTGATCTGTGTCTGCTCCTGTAAAAAGTCTAGCCTAGGAAATTCTGTAAAGCAGTTCTGTTCTACCCTTCAGGGTTGCTATGAGTCAGGATTTGCTTGATGAGCACACAGCAATAACAGTATGTTTTTAGGCCAAAGGAACAAGATAAATAAAGATTTCAAGGATATTCATGGGATGGGAATTTCAATTATGACTACAGGATATGCTGTTTGACTGTATCTTTAGCATTATGCCTCTTGGCTACGTTGTATTTTGTGAAGTTTCTTTCCCACCCAACCTCCTCCAATAGTAAGTCACTGTTGTTGTGTACCATTGAGTCAGAACTGACTCATAGCTGACCCTCCAGTGGGTTTTCAGAGGCAGTTAATCACACAGAAGGTGCTCATCTTTCTCCCACAGTGCATCTGATGGATTCGAATTGTGTCCCTTTGTGTTGGTCATGCAACTCTTTACCGCTAAGCCACCAGATCTCTCTATCAAGTCATTAGAGACTTTTTAGCATTTTTTTTTGTAGTTATGTTCTGCCTCTCACCCCTCAAAGCTTGCTATCATAGAGTAGATTCCAATTCAGAGGATAGTAGAGTTTCTGAGATTTTAATTTTTTAAGGAGCCCTGGTAGCATAGTGAGTAGCATATTAGGCTGCTACCTGAAAGGTCAGTAGTTCAACTCTATCAGTAGCTCTGTGGAAAAAAAGTTGGACCACCTGTTTTCATAAAGATTTATAGCCTTGGCAATCTAATGGAGGATTGCTGTGAGTCAGAGCAAACTAGCCAATGACTAAATCTTTATGGGAACATACTGCCTCATCTTTCTCCTTCCAGGGTGGCTGTTGGAGGCAAATATCTCACCTTTTGGTTAACAGCATAGTGCTTGCACCACCAGTGCTCCTTACCATCACCCTAACCCTCTTTTGGCCATTTTTTAAGGGAATCAGACACATTGGAAAAGCTGGAAGATAAATGAGGCATGCTTGCATTATGGTTGAGGTGGTCAGCTTTAAAGAAATGATAGGATTTGTTCTGTCTCCTCTGGGGAGAAAACTGACTCCTGCCATCTATCCTTTGAGACAATTTAGTGTTCAAAAACTATGTTATGGTAGTTAACAAAGGAGCAATATGTATTATAGAGATGCTTTTTTTTTTTTTGAAATTGAGAAAATAATATCTCAAGTATGTTTGCTCTGGAAGTACTGAAGTGACCTTGGATCTGTTGTAAGATGATGCTACTTTGAAGTGATCATACTCATGTGACTGCCAGACTTTAATGTATATTTAACATTTCTGCTGTGTCCAGGTGTCTTGTCTGGGATCCTTTACAGGCACTGGTAAAGAGTCATAGTTTGATCTGTGTCATTGATTCTCCTTTTTATAGTACCACTGATCATATTGCTTAAGAAAGATCCTTAAGAAAGCCTTTGTCGGCTTACGGATATGTTCTCAAATAGGGAGCTGGGTGCAGTAATCCTCATTCAGAATTATACAGGTCTTAGCAGAAACTTAATTTGGTATAATGTAGTATGGTGTTGTTCTTGGGAGATGCTGCGATGTGGATTAAATCTGCAGGTCATTCAACCTCAGGGTCCATTTGGAGGCATACTGGTGTCTTAATGGGTCCTGTTTGCCAGGCCTGGCCTGTTTAGTATTTTCTTGTTTTCAGTGTCTTAAGATAAACCAGGGGAGTTACGATACCAGTTTTTTAGGCTAAGAATAATACTTAAAACATTATGAGGAGGAAGAGAGAGGAAATCAGTTAGGATGGCAGAGGTTAGTGGGCAGATGGAGGGGTGAATGAATAGGAAAGATGCTATGGAGACTTGAAGACACTGATAAAAGAACTAGATCAGTAATAATTATCTAAAACACAAGGTATATGAATTACTGTATAAAATACAATGTACATGAATGACATAGTGTATATGGATGATTGTATGCAAACCAATAAAAAGGGGGGAAAACTTGATGAGATGATAAAAAGAACAAAGGGTATTAGATGAAAAAGAATCTTGGTGAATACAGCTTAACTATACATATGGATCATTTTAGATTACTGGCATGGCACAAATGGCTAAGCTCTTGACTCCTAGCCTAAAGGTTGGAAGTTTGAGCCCCAAGGACTCTTGGAAGACAAGCCTGAGGATCTTCTTCTGAAAGATCAGAGTCTTGAAAATGCTAAGGAGCAGTTCTGCATACATGGGGTCACTATGTGTTGGAGTTGACTCAGTAACAACTAATTACAGCTATTAATTTCAACTTATTCTCCCTACTTGCTGGGATAATTTAACATTTTCAAATTGGTCATCGGATTTAGTTTGGTAAAGAGTTCTTTTATTTCACCACCCCTCCAACTTCTCAAATTATTCTTGCAAGATAAGAAATGGCCTTTGTTTTATAGAAAGAGTTCAGATTTTAGTAAATATTTACTTTTGTTTCCTCTTTTTATCAAAGTGGTTACATAAATTTCATTAATAACTTTGGTTATTAATAAGTTTGGTCCCATCTGTCACTCAGTTAAATTGTATTCCCACATATCTGCATTTGGAATATTTTAGCAAACAGTATTTATTACAATATAAAATGTAACCCATTGACACAACATTTTATTAGATCTACTGCTCTTAGGTGAAATATAAAGCATATCCAGGTGATATGAAAATAATGTCATATTAGGTCATTTTGTTGTGGTTGTAAAATGAAGATAATTCATATTTTAGCTCAGATAAGTAAACTGTGAAATACTCTTTCTGATATTCTGGTTCATTAAGAATTGTTTTCTTTCATAGGAAAATAGAAATAGTGCAATTTGCTAGCCGAACACGCCAACTCTTCGTTCGATTACTAGCTTTGGTAAAATGGGCTAATAATGCTGGCAAAGTAGAAAAATGTGCGGTGAGTTACTTTTTTACTTTTATGTATAATGACATTTTATAGTGCTTACTTATAGTTTTGATGAGCATTACGTGTATGATAGATGAAATTTCCATATGACGATATAGAATATATTTTCATGGAAACAGAGTTTGTGGACACTTGGTCAGAAAGAATAACCAGAACTATCTGAAATATAGGATTTGAATAAAGGGTGAAAATGGTTAGCTTACATTTGGATGGTTCCTTAGAGTTTGCCTACTGATTCTTGACAACCCTATGAGAATGAGAGTAGCTGTTTTCCTATTTTATAAATTGAGGAAATGATGCATTTCCTAGAAGTTAAATGGCTTCCTCAAACTCACACAGCTGATAACATTTGTCTGTTTATTCATCTGTCATTTTCCAATCCTTTCTGAAGTACTGAGGATTATTATTATTATGTGCCATTGACTTGACTACAACTCCTAGCTACCCTATGAACAAAGGCTCTGAACTTTATCCCGTCCTGAGCCAACCTCACCATCTCAGACACACTTGACCCTCTTGCTACAGTCACTGTGGCAATCCATCTCATCTAGGGTCTTCTCTCTTGTGCTGACTCTCCGCCCTTCCAAGGACTGGCCTCTCCTGATACCATGCTCAAAGTATGTGGGATGGAGTTCCACTGTCCTTGCCTCCAACAAGTACTGTTTGTTGCACTTTCTTCGGGACAGACCTATTTGTTCTCTTGGCAGTCTATGGAATATTCCGTGTTCTTCTTCTCCAGCACCACAACTCAAAGGCGTCGATTCTTCTTCTGTCATCCTTAGTCATTGTCCAGCTCTCTGATGCATAACAAATGTTTGGAAAAACCATGGCTTGGATCAGACACACCTTAATTTTTAGACAGACATCATTGCTTGTTATCACTCTGGAGAAGTCCTTGACAGCAGATTTTTCTCAAAGCAACTCATCTTGATTTTCTGACTGCTGATGCCAAAGGTGTTGATTGTGGATCCAAGTAAGATGAAATTGTTAACTTCAGTCCTTTTCTCCATCTATCATCATAATACTACCTGTTGTCTCAGTGGTGAGGAGTTTTGTTTTCTTGATATTGAGATGCAGTCCACATTGAAGGCTGTCGTCTTTAATCAAGTCCTCCTCACTTTCATTAAGCAAGATTGTGTAATCTGCATAATGCAGGTTGTTGATGAGTCTTCCTCAGATCCTGATACCACACCCTTCTGCATAAAGTCCAGCTCCTTGAATGATCTGTTCAGCATATCGATTAAAAAGGTATGGAGAAAGGATACATCTTTGGTGCATTCCTTTCTTGATTTTGGACCATGCTGTATTTGGACAAACAGCTTCTTGGTCTAGGTATAGGTTTCACATGAGCACAATCAAGTGTTCTGTGATTCTCATTCTCAATGCTAGCCATAATTTGTTGTGATCCACACCTCAGTAGGGCATCGATCCTGCCCTCAGAAAACTCAAGAACTTTTGACCTTGAACCACTCTTTAATTCAAAGAACTGAAGTGTGCCGAAGATGCTAAAATGTACCCCCTTCCCAAAGTAGTATGTTTTAGCTGAGTTGTCAGAACCTTAACAATGCAGTGATTAAAACATTGATCTGCTGATATAAAGAATGATTTGAACCCATCAGCTACTCTATTTAAGAAAGAAGCAGCAGTCTGTCTGCTTCTGTGAAGATTTACAGCCATGGAAACTTTATGGGGCAGTTTTACTCAGTCCTACAGGATTGCTATGAATCAAAATAGACTAGAGAATTTGGATTTTTGGCTTTAATATGTTGAAGTATTGTTGTTAGGTGCCATCGAGTTGAGTAGTGACTCATAGCTACCCTATGAACAACAAATCTGAACTCTCTCCTATCCTAAGCCATTTTCATCATTTCTGACATAATTGAAGAATCATTAGGGAGAAGGAAAACCCAATTGAGTAGCTTGTATTACCTTATGGAGCTCTTATGCCTTGGGGGAAGATGGTATGTTAAAAGATGAGACACAAATTTTTCTTCATTCAGTTCTGATGAAAATAGAGTGTACATTAGAAAGAATAGTATACCCTGTGGCTTTGGTCACAAGAGCAAAGAGTTGGAAACAACCTAAGAGCCCATCAACAAATGAATGGATAAAGAAGCTGTGGTATATTTACATAATGGAATACTATGTTGCATTGAAAAACAAGGAACTCATGAAATGGGTGACGCTGGAGGACATTATGCTGAGTGAAATATTTCCGTCACAAAAGGACAAATACTGCATAGTGCCACTATTGTAAAACAAGACTGACATTGGGGTTAGGGGAGACTGAGAAAGATGGGATAAATTATGTATACTGCATTAAAACAGATGAGGGAGAGAACTGTTTAAAAAGGATATATGATTAGGTATTATTGTCATGACAGGAGTCCAGAACGAAGGCTGCATAGTGGAGTGGACTTGGGGGGAGGGATTGTATAACAATGAAAGAATTTTACTTTTTAAAGAGAAGAGTGAACTGGGGGGAGGGTGGGTAGGGAGAAAAGTGCAACAATGAATGAATGGAAATTCAGAGTCTCTGTAAACTTTCATTAAAACTAATATTTTTTTAAAAAGTGAAAGAAAAAGAAAGAATAGCATAATTATCATAGTATGAATCAGATCTTGAAATACTGGCTTTAATTTATCCACTTGAGGTCAGTTGCCTAGATCTAATTCTCCCCCCCCTTTTAGTTACATATCATGTTTAAAAAATTTATCAGTTTTTCTAATTTAAAGCATAAAAACAACTTTACCCTGGTCAATTAAATTACTGGAGGTGGTGGTTGTTAATGTGCTTTCAAGGCAGAACTGATCCATAGCTGACCCTCCAGTGGATTTTCAGTCTGTAAATCACTCGAAAGGAGGTTGCCCATCTTTTTCCCATGTAGTTCCCAAATCATGAAGAAGTTTCTTTCTGATGACTCTGGTGTAAGTTAGTTCTGACACAAGTCACATACCTCTTTTTTTGAAAATTCTCATTATCATTGCTTTTTATTATCCAGATCTATAAATCCAATCTTTTATTTATCTTTAGGTATTGGAAACAGTATGTAGAAACTCACAGATATGTTTTAATACATACATATATTTTATAAATTCAAGAACCATAAAAATTTGTTCCAGTTAAGAAAAGTTGGATGACATTGGCATTTTGTCAACTCCATTTGTGGTGGTTTTGGATTATCTGGATTATTCCTCAGAGTAAGGATGGAATTTCTGGTTAGAAAATTAGTGAAAGTTATCTGTATAATTTTTTTCTTCATATATTTCTTTCTTTTTAAAGCATATTTTGTATTTTTCTATCTTATTTATGGTTTTGTGCCTCTGTTGGTAAATTATTAATTCAGTTGATTCTATTTTAAGAATTTTTACTTTTTTCCCCCCTAGGGTTTTGTTTTGTTTTGTTTTTTCAGTTGAAAGTTTGCAAGTCATACTGATTTTTCATTCAGTCATTTAGATACAGCTTCCCTAATCTGGGTATTGACTTTAGCTAAAAGCAGTCAGTATTTGGGTCTGTGTTCTCAAACAATTGAAGGCCTCAGTTCAGTTTAGAAAAAAACTCCAGCTAACCCTTTCACTGTCAATTTTTTTGAAAACTTCTTTTTTTGCTTTATTTCATTATTTCTTCTTCAGCGTTTCCTTTTCAAAATCCATTAAGTTCTTATCTGTCAGTACCCCTTCTTTGTCATTTATGAGCTGTTCTGCATTGGTGATGCTAATTCTAAATTCAGTGTTCTTCCTGTAAGGATGACCCCCTACCCCATGCCAGTCTCTTCAGTCATTTTATCTTTATCAAGAGTTTGAAATTTTTTTCACGTAATTGTGCAATTTTTTTCCATATCCCCTGCATGTATTTTCCCCAGAACTTGCTCCCACGAAGATATAATGTTCCAGGTATATAGATGGTTGTAATTTGTAACTCAAATATGCCCTCTTAAATTTGGAACTGAGTATTGAAAGAGTTCTTAAATTTTCTTAAGTTTATTAGTCTTCCTAGAGAGATTAAAGTTAGCATTTAGTACATTGTTGTTGCTGTTGAGTACCATTGAGTTGGAACTGATTCATATCAGACCCTCCAGTGGGTATGCAGAGGCAATAATCTTGAGGGAGTTAATTGCCTGTCTTTCTCCTGCAGAGCAACTGGTGAATTTAAACCATGTGCCTTTAGGTTAACAGTGCAGCTGCTTACCACTAGGCCACCAGAGCTTCTGAAATTAAAAATATTTTCACAGTGATTTTTTTTAGCAATTTGCCTATTTCATCGTATTGCACTTTAGAAAGGGATGGATCTACAACTCATTTGTGTTTCTTCATTTTGCCTTGATTTTCCTGATGCCTCACCTCACTTTGTTCATTTTATTATATGTTGTCAAGTAGGAACTGACTCATAGCTGACACTCCAGCAGGTTTTCAGAGGCTGTAAATCATGTAGGAAGAGATTGTCCATCTTCCTCCCTTAGAGTAGCTGGTGGATGTCTACCCTTTGGGTTGACAGTATAACTCTTCACTAGGCTATCAGAGCTCCCTTTATTCACTTTAGCCTGTACCGTTTGATATCCCCACCAATCTTTTAAAAGTGTTTTGGGTTTGTTTTTTTTTTAAAAAAAAAAACAACTCACAAACAACTTGATTTTCACTGGTTAGTGGTCAATTCCAGCCCTAGCAGTTAACCAAATAGCAAGGCTGGAAGAATTCAGTAAAACACATCCAATCAGGCTGTCCAGTCTGTATAGCAATTATCAAAAATTTATTTTGGGATAGAACAGTTTGTACTATGTATTAGGGAGCGCTGGTACTCTAGTGGCAAGAAGCTGTGCTGCAATACCAAAGACACATGGTTCAAATCCACCAGATAGATGCTCTGCTGGAGAAGGAGGGGCAATCTCCTCCTGTGCCAGTCAGAACCAATTTGATGGTATATAATAAGGAAAAAACAAAACAAAACAAACCCCAAACAAACAGGAGCTCTGATGGCCTAATGGCAAGAAGCTGCACTGCAATCCTAGAGATGCGTGGTTTGAATCCACCAGATGCTTTGCTGAAAAAGGAGGGACAATCTCCTCCTGTATCAGACCGATTTGATGGTACACATACACAAAATAATAACATTTTAAACAAAACATAACCAACGAAAAAGAGTTTGTGCTATGACTAAGCCAACTAATTCACTATTGTTTCAGCTCACAACTTACCCTCCATCAGATTTCTAAAGTTATAAATTATAAAGGAAAAAAACTACTGATCTTTATCCCATGGACTCACTGGTAGATTCAAACTGCCGGAAATGGGCAGCCTTTGGGTTAACAGTGCTACATTTTACTGGTTACTTCTTGTACTTGAAAAATGAAAGTTTGTAAGCTGAATGACTTTATGTTAAGTTTCATTCACAGAGTAGATTTTGTTAGAAATGTAAATAAAGAAGTTCAATTCAAGCTTACAGTTCACCTCAGTATCTTAGAAATTTCCAAGTCTAAGAAGTCTATTTTGCCTGATGTGAAAAAGCACATTGCAGTGTTTTTGAGAAGCTTAAGATTTCTTTTCAGTGATTTGTTCATTTTGAGTAATCCCTTATTGGAAATGCTGAAACACTTTAAGTGAAAAGTTAGATATTGCTGAAATATGGTATTAAATCCTTTATTATATCATGAATATTTAAATTATCTGTTTGGTAGCACTGAGTTATATAGTTCAGTGATATGAAAAAAAATCCAAAACTCTTGATTCTGACATTAAGTCATATTGCATAACTTTTAATTCATAGCATAGCAGTCTTCTCTTAGTTTTTTAAGTGGTTGTTCAAATCATATTATCAATAAAGTTCCATTTTGAGCTTATATAAAGTTGGGATATTTTTGTTTTGTTATAAATATTGACATAAATGTGCTTATGTCAGGAATAAAGTCTTTCTACCGGATAAGCATGTTTCGATATTTCTGTTCTTAGTCTAGTTATTATTTAACCAGTGTCATTAGTAATTCTTTGTTAATAATCTTTAACAATGGGAAGCATAAATGACATACATAGCTGAGTGTGTATATCCATAGTTTATAAAACTCTAATAGTAAAGTAGTTTAAAGAATATTTTTGTGAGTGCAGACATTAATGTCTTTGTCAGGAATAAAGTTCATCTACTGAATACTTAACAGTACTATACTTTTTTATTTTAGTTCTCAGTAGTTATTATTTAACCAGTCGGAATCGTTAGGGATTCCTAGGTAATACACTTTTTAATGGCAAATGTAAAAGGCATGCATAACTGAGTGTCTAAATTAGTCTGGCTAGTGCCAGAGCAATGTAGATAATGTATTAATGGTAAAGCAGAGTGGCTAATGTTTGTCTCAGGTGTAAAGTCCATCTATTAGATAGATAGAGGATTGTGCAGATTTCTATATTTCAGTTCTCAGTCTAGTTATTATTTAACTAGTCTCACTAGTCCCTAGGTAATATTTAGCAGAGGCAAACGTAAATGACACAGGTAGCTGAATATAGTATTCACATTCATAGTATATGGCAATTCTGACTAATGATAAAGCAGGCTGGGTAATGTTTAAGGAAAATGGCCTGTTTCCTTTTTTTTTTAATTTAAATCCTCATGAAGATTTTTTTTACGTACTATATTAATATGTTTCACTCCTTTAGGGTATGTAAGTTCTTAGTATATTCAGAGATATGTACAGCTATCACCACAGTCAATTTTAGGACATTTTTATCACCTCAATAAGAAAACCCCAGGCCTTTTATCTTTGAGCCTTACCCTTAGCCTTAAGCAACTGCTAATACACTTTCTGTCTCTATAGATTTGTCTATTCTAAACATTTCTTATGTTGGAGAAGGATGAGGAAGTCTCCTCCTGTGTGATTAACTGCCACTGAAAACCCACTTGAGGGTCAGCTATGGGTCAGTTCGTACTCTATGGTACACAGCAACAACCAACATTTACTATAAGTGGAATCTCATAATATGTGGCCTTTTGTTTCCCTTTTTATGATCTAATAAAACTTCGTCGTATGACCCTACCGTGTTTTGTTTTTCCATTCTTTAGCTGATGGACATTTGAGTTGTTTCCACCTTTGACAGCTATAAATAATGCTGCTGTAAACATTTGCACACAACTTCTTGTGTGGCCATCTTTCACTTTTCTTAGATGATTACCTAAGTTTGGAATTGCTGGATAAGGCTGTAACTGTTTAATCATTTGAGTGATTGTCAAACATTTTCTAGGTGGACTGTGCCATTTCATATTCTGAACAGCAGTGTATATGGGTTCAAATTTCTCCACATGTATGCCGATACTTGGCCTTTGTCCAAATTACAGTGGATGTGAAGTGGTATCATGTTGTGATTTCGATTTGCATTTCTCTAATTATTAATGATACTGAACTTCTTACAAAGTCAAAAGAATGTAACTGAAAGCTAGTGTACCATGGGTTTAACAAGGTAGATTAGAGAGTATTTCCTTTTTATTCATGTTTAAGTTGAACAGTATGACGAGATACACTTTAGCATCCTATTAGGGTTTGTACTTTTTTTTTTTTTTTTCAGGGCAGTCTTTGGTGCTCTTTAGCCTTAGCTTTGATTCAATAAGCTTTTTTTTTTCCAGTGTCTTGTTAGAGGAGAGTTGGAATAACCTCAGCTTAAGTAAAATCTAGTTCTGAAGTTGAGAAGAACAGGAATAAAAATAGCTTTAATATGCAGAAAGCAGATTACGGTTCTCCTTGAGGTTCGAGTTGGTTATAGGGGACCTTACTTGATAGAGAGTTATGTGCAAGGGGTCAAGGGCTTTTAGTTGACCTGAAGCTTTGCTGTGTGGTTAGCAGAGTCATAGGTACTGATGAAAAATTAGTAGCATTAATAGGAATCTGTTACCCCAGTCTGTTCCAAGACAAGAAACATTTTTTTGGTTCCACCTTCAGGTTGTCTGTCTTTGGGTAAATGTCTGAACTTAAGCCTCAGCTTTCTCATCTTCAAGATGATTGAAATAATTTCATTTTGTCTATTTCCCAGAGTTGTAGAAGTCAGAAAGAAATGTGGAAATAATTAGAAAATGTAGAGCATTACAATTGCATAATGAACATTAATTCTAGTTGCCTTGTTTTAAGTTGGGCACTGATAGACAGCTTATTTTCAGGCAGTGGGACAATAATGGTTTTGGAGATAGAAAGACAAGACCTAGTGACTTAGGATGTTTAGCTTGAAGCCCAGGAGGCTAGACATTGTCTGAAGTATATGAAAAAAGAAACTTAAAGTATTGTTTCAGAATAGGCAAGTTTCAGGGAAATGTTTAATGAGCTCTACTAATAAGACTTTCTCTCTCCTTCCCCTCCCCCCTTTCTTTTAAAAACAAATTTTTTCTGACAGTTGTTATTTTTGTTGTTTGGTACTATCAAGACAGCTCCAACTCATAGTGATCCTATATAACAGAAGGAAATCCTGTCTAATCCTAATACCATCCTCATAATCTCTGCTATGCTGAAACTTATTGTTACAGTCACAGTATCAGTTCATCTCATTGAGAATCTTCCTCTTTTCACTGACCCTTTACCAATCATGATGTCCAGAGACTAGCTTCTCCAAATTTTCATGCCCAAAGTATGGAAGACAAAGTGTCATCATCTTCACTTCCCATTGAACATTATAGTTGTATTTCTGCTACAACAGGTTTGTTCTTTTGCAAGTCCATTGAAATTAATATTCTTCACCAGCACCACATTTCAGAAGCACCAATTTGTCTTCAGTCTACCTTCCTTATGAAATGTATCATGAGAACTTAGAGTAAGAATCTTTTAATGACTATTTCCTATGTTCTAGGCACAGTTTTATATACATTGATGCTTAAAACTCAGAATGACCCTATTACGGTAGATATCATATTATCACCTTCATTTTACACTTGAAGAAATGGCACAGAGAGGTTGAGTAACTTGTCCAAGGTTATGACTGTGGCTAGTAAATTGCAGAGTTGACATTGAAACCAAGACATTCCGGGTCCAGAATGCATGCTTTTAACTATTTCATTTTGCTTATTTGCCATAATTGCTGACATTTTATATGTATAATGTTAAAGATGGTGAAACAAATTGGAATTTTTTTCCTATTAAAGTGATGCAAAATGATGGTTTTTAAATGTTAAATAAAATCATGTTACTCCTTAAGATTACTGGAAAACTTCTAAGAAAGTCTTCAAAATATAGAAAATTAATTCTCTTAAAATTTACTGTGGAATAAATAGATGATACATACTTAAAGTGAAAAGCAGATCATTTTCACGGAAATTTAATATATGTACCCTTTTTGCTTTAAAGATGATCTCTAGCTTTTTAGATCAGCAAGCTATCCTGTTTGTGGACACAGCTGATCGCCTAGCTTCACTAGCTAGAGATGCTCTGGTACATGCACGCCTGCCTAGTTTTGCCATCCCATATGCTATTGATGTCCTGACTACTGGGTCTTATCCACGACTGCCAACCTGCATTAGGGTAAGTGTTTTGTCCCATGTTTTGAAAAGTGGTGTTAGATTCTGCTATATTATTGCATAGTCGAGCAAAAAGCTATGGTGTATTTTAAAGATGTTTGCTTTTTTTTTTTTAAAATCTCTACAGCTAAAATTATGGGTGTTTTTTTTTTAATTGAGGCAATAAATCTTTTTTTATGGGGGAGGGGTGAGAAAGGGACATGCTAATGTGAAAATGTAACAGTTCTGTTTCAAATTTGAAAATAATTCATGCTAGTTGCTTTTTTAGAAGTGTTCTTTTATTTTTATTTTAGTAATTTACTTATTCTATGAAGAAGTGGTAGATAGTGACATTAAGTTGATTTTATAAATGGAGCATGGAGAACATAGCACATTACCATATTAGACTGATGCAGTTATTTAGTACTCTGTAATGCACTGTAGGCAAGATCACTATTACTGAGTGTAGATTGTAGAAATGAGTATGAACTCAGGAGACTTCTGTGTAAAGATAAACACTGATACAAAATATCATTTTTTGCACGTTACTAGGAATACAAAATAACAGTTTTGAACAAAAAATATCAGTTCTTTGTACATTATTAACTGCTCTCTTAAATCATTTTCACAGGATAAAATTATTCCTCCTGATCCAATTACCAAAATTGAGAAACAAGCCACACTTCATCAGTTGAACCAGATTCTTAGACATCGGCTTGTAACCACTGATCTGCCTCCTCAGTTAGCAAATCTTACAGTTGGTATGTACCAGAGATTAATTTTTTTTAAGTTGATTTTTTTTTAGCATATATTAAACGGTGTTTTGGGTTTTAGTTGGAATATCATTATATGTTGTTGTTATGTGCCTTCGAGTCGCTTGTACAGCAGCTTTGTGAAGCCTGCCCTGCCCTAAGTCAGTCTCCCTGATTCCAACATACTAACTCCCATTGCCCCAGTTACTGTATCAATCCATCTCATCCAGGCTCTTCCTCTCCTGTGCTGTCTCTCCACCCTTCCGAGCGTGATGTTCTCCTCCAAGGATCAGTCCCTTTTGACCATGTGCCCAAAGATTTAACTACTGTTTTGGTAGTATTTGAATCTGAATTGTCAAGTATAATAATGTTCCTTGAGCACCTAAAAGTACAGTACTGGTATTTGAAGTTACTGGGTAAGTGTGATCACTTTAAGTTGTAGGAAAGAAGGGATCTCAGGTATGAGCCCTAAGAAAATATTGTTAATGTTAGAGGAGTTGCCTTGATCTTTTGATTAGATACCTGGAAGCTGACTGCTGCTTATGGCAGGACCATTGATTTGTATAGACATTTATGAAAGAACCTTTAGTTTATTTAAAACTTATAAGGAAGACTAAAAGTTTTAAGTTTGTGGCAAACTTCTACTTTTCTAGCAAAGTACAATTGTTCTTTTCTCAAAGCAAATGGCAGAGTGAAGTTTAGAGTTGAAGGAGAATTTGAAGCCACCTTGACTGTGATGGGAGATGACCCTGATGTTCCTTGGCGTCTTCTCAAGCTAGAAATTCTTGTTGAGGATAAGGAGACGGGAGGTAAATAATGAATACTGTTTTTATTATTAAAATACTGTTTCATTATTTATTATTGAAACATTCCTGCAGAATAATAAATGTATTTAGCAATTTATTTACCCTCTAATTTGAAACAAATTGTGTAATAACCCTTTATTGGCCATGGAAGTTTGTATTTCTCAATATTTATTGATTGATAATTCTTTGTTAGTATGCTCTTCCTTAGTTGTTGATGTGGCATGATCTGTGTACCCTTCTGATTAAACACTTTGTTATTCATGTAACATGATCTGTATATGTTTCTGTTTAAACACTTTATTGTTTCTCTCCCCGCCACCCACCAATGAAAGATGGGCGAGCTTTGGTTCACAGTATGCAAATCAACTTTATCCATCAACTTGTGCAGTCTAGGCTCTTTGCTGACGAGAAACCTCTTCAAGACATGTACAACTGCCTACGTATCCTTCTCAAATTTGAGGTGTATATTTGTAAGGATTTTTTATCTTCCCTTTTTTCTGTTTTTCCATTTGTCCTTAGTTGTGAGCTGTAGCAGCCTACTTAAGACTCCCCTTTTTATTTCTTTTTGACATATGTCCTTTTGTTAAAATTTTGAATGAAAGTTTACAAATTATATTGGATTTTTATTCAATCATTCATACACAGTTTATTTTATAACATTAATTACATTCATTGATATAATTAGCTATAATATCTAAGCAAACCTTTGTGGTATATTTATTACCTTTCCTTTCACCCAATTTATCTGTTAATTTTTACTCCTCTCTCCCTCCCTCCCCTCTCATCCCTGTTAAATCTTCCAAGATTGATCTCGCTGGGTATAAAGCTTTCCTTAGCTTCCCTCCCCCTTACCTTTTTATGTTAGTGTTCTTATGTCTTAACTGTACAGTTGTGACTGGCTTGTGTCACTCACCACGGTTTGTTCTAGATTCATCCATGCTGTGAAGTATTTCAGATTTTTTTATTGTGTTTTAGTGATGCACCATTACTGCAATAAACATGGGTGTGAGTATGTAAGTTTGTGTCATTGCTCTTATTTCTTTGGGATACATACCTTGTTCTAACCCTTTTGAGTTAATGTAGATTTGGAAAACTGGTAAGTGTCTGTAATAATCACATTTTCAATGTTATGATTGAGTTCTCAGGTAAAAGCAAAAAGTGATTACTTAAAAATAGTATTGTTAGAGACTTCATAATCTCTTAAACTATGGTGAATTAAAGGACAACCTGAACCTTGTGATTTGTTTGTATGAATTCAAATTATTTTTTTTTCTAAAATTGTATCACATATTGTAACATTCTTCAACATTAGAAATATTATTCCAGAAATTTCTTTCATGGACAAATATTTGGGAATAGAGCCTCTGATTCAATGAAGTTTGTATGTACTTGATTGATTGTTGGAGAGATATATTCGATTTCCTTAACAAGATCCATCAGATTCATTCTGCTTATCACTTCAGTTAGAAGTATTACATTCCCAAACGCTAATGTTAATCCGAGAGCGATGGGGAGACCTTGTACAAGTGGAAAGGTATCATGCTGGAAAGTGCCTCTCCCTCTCAGTTTGGAAGTAAGTAAAATTGGTTTTAGTGGGTTAATAGGGAACTCTGATGGCTTAGTGGTAAGGAGTTGCACTACTACTATACACAGTTTGAGTCCCTCAGCTGCTCCAAAGGAGAAAGATGAGCAGTATCCTCCAGTGTCATTTACTGTCTCTGGTTCTCACTTAACAGTATGTATGAACAGTGGGTTTATACTCTGACTTCAAATACTCTTTTTGTTTCTCTCTTTCTCCCCGTGCCCCACCACCCCCAGTCTCTTTTAATTTGGCCAACCTAAAGAAAGGCAGTTAGAATCTACCAGCTGCTCCTTAGAAGAAATATGAGTACCTTTGAAAACCTGCTGGAGGGTCACCTATGAGTTGGTTCGTTCTAGACAGCACATAACAGCAGTGATGGCTATATATTATTGCAATTTTTTATGACAAAGTCCTGTGGTATCCCACAGACCACACTGGACATCAATAATTTATGTCTTTTTTTTTTTTTTTAATCGAGCATGTTTTAAATACCTCACATCTATTTGTACTAAGACTCACTTCTCTTAAAAACTTTAAGAGAAGGGAGCTCTGATGGCCTGGTGCCAAAAAGCTGTGCTGCAATCCCGAAGGTGCACGGTTCTAATCCACCAGATGCTACTCTGGAGGAGAGGCAATCTCCTCCTGTGCCAGTTAGATCAGATTCTACAGTACACAACAAGTTAAAAACAAACAAACAAAGTTTGAGAGATTAGTTTCTTCAGGACTCATTTACATAAAGATCATAAAATGGAATTTTGTGTATTGTTTTTAAAAGCATGTTTGCTTACCACGACTTTGTTTTGAAATGTACCTTTTCAAAAATTTCCTTTTTAAAGTTTAAATAAGTGTTATGAGTATCCTTAAAGATAACACAGTTTTAGTATTTTAGAAACTTTCTCACTACTTTGCCCATCATTACTCTGTCTTTTCACTCGGATCCTTCCTATTTCATTTACCCCTTTCCTTCACCCACCAAACTGTGCAACCCTGCTGTTTCATCCCTACCCACCCTAACCCTCTGCTCTAACCCCTTCCCCCCTTGGGTTCCTATACATATTTTACTAGTAATCCTTCTATTTTTACAGTAATGGTCTTATGCAGTATTTGTCCTTATGAGAGACTTAGTTCATTCAGCGTAACTCTTCAGTCTCTTCCAAGTTTGTTGTTGCTGTCGAGTCGTTTGCGACTCATAGCTACCCTATGTACAACAGCCCTAAACTCTGCTCTATCCTGTGCCAATCGCACTGCCTCTGACACACCCATCCCGATTACCTCAGTCACTGAATCAATCTACCTCATAGAGTGTCTTCCCCTCCTGTGCTGTCCCTCCACCCTCCCAAGAATGATGTCCCTCTCCAGGGCAGTACTGGTCCCTCCTTACAGCATGTCCAAAGTATGTCAGACAAAGCCCCAGAATCCTTGTCTCCAAGGAGTAGCTTGGCCTAACCCTCTCCAAGATGAATCTGTTTGTTTTCTTGGCAGTCCATGGTACATTCAATACTCTTCTCCAGCACCACAGCTCAAAGGCATCAATTCTCCTTCTATCCTC